TGTCGAGTCCGTGAGAGGAAAGGCAGGCTTGGCGGGTCAGTGAGGAGGAGGGGGAGGAGGAGGAAGTAACAAATTAAGCGCGGGAAAAAGCGAGATGAGGGTCTCGCCCTTCCTGAGGCAGGGCGGTGGGGTAACGCGTTGCAGCCCGCTTGTCGGCGTCACCCCTTTAAAACTGTTCGCCGTGCGTTCGCGCTGCTGCTGTTGTGGCTTTTCTGTGGAGATGGCTGTCAAAAATAAAGAAGTACACTGCTACTATCGTTGTGATTTCAGTAAATAAGCGCGGGAAAAAGCGAGATGAGGGTCTCGCCCTTCCTGAGGCAGGGCGGTGGGGTAACGCGTTGCAGCCCGCTTGTCGGCGTCACCCCTTTAAAACTGTTCGCCGTGCGTTCGCGCTGCTGCTGTTGTGGCTTTTCTGTGGAGATGGCTGTCAAAAATAAAGAAGTACACTGCTACTATCGTTGTGATTTCAGTAAATAGCAAGATTGGTTTCTCTGCCTTAGAGGAAGGTCTGGTTTGTTCTGTAGGTTTGGAAAAAGGCCTTTTGTCGAGCATGGGGAGGTTTGTGCGAGGGACTGAATGTTCTGGTGCTGTTCTGATATGAGAACTTGTTGGAGAGACTCTCCGTCTGTATTGTTGCTAACTCGTAACTCTGTCTATGTTTTAAGGCCTTTAAACCTTTCAAATCTCACTGGAAAACACACAAATACGCATTTTTCTTTCCTTTTTTTTTTTTTCATGTAACTTAAAGGCCATTTAGTATGACCAGTGTGGCATAATATTTGTGGGGTTTTTACGGAAATACTGTGTTTTGCGTGCTGTGAGGCACTGAATGCAGCTGCAGAACTTCATATTGCATAAAATGCTTATGGGATTTACTCAGGGTGTTGTTTTCGTTTCATGCTTCAATTGTATTGTAGCAACATAATTGTACAAACAAACATGACTTTAAATTACTGTCCTAAACTTAAACATTTACAAAACCTGACATGTGAAACTTAAAACATGAGATCCAAACCGTGAACCTCCCCCAGAGATTTAACAGAACTGCTCGCGTAAAAATAAAATGGATAAAATGAAGCATGGGTGTAAGTGCTGGTAGGATTTGAGCACGAAATAGTGAAAGTATCAATTATTGTCAGCCTGAGCAATTTTGAATTGTTCAGACCAATTTTAAGACCAGATTTTCTAGGTTTGTTATTTTTAAAGCTGCTGGTAATTGTAGTGCCAAGTTCTGATTTCTTAGTTTAGATAAATTGCTGGAAAGTAGTATTTTTAAATTAACTTCCCATAAAAATACAAATTTCATACTTTATGCTATGGGCTACCCAGACCTTGAAGCATCAGAACTTCCATGTGAAACAGTTTATAAACAAATTTGCATGTTTTAATTATTCTAATGAAGCAGAAAAGGAAAACAGACCCCTCCAATAAAAGACAATCAGTTGGTTAGAGTATAAAATTTTGTGGAATATACAGACTTTATGGAATTTACTTGCAAATGTTAAACTGTTATGACTGATTTTTAGAAAAAGGTGTGCTATTCTAGTGTGAGCATTTTCTAAGTTAGAACATCAGTTGCTGCTTGACGTTTAGTTTTAATTACAGGATTCTGGGCTGTGCTGAAATGTCTTGTAAGAAAATCTATGGAGTTCGTGTTTCTCAGTGTTACTCCCAATCCTCACTGAAATCAGCAGAAGATCCCCACTGCTATCGGTGGGAGCTGAAGCAAGGCCCTGTATAACCTGATCTAATTAATATGAAAATGGGCTACAAAACAGACATTCAAGGAAGTGCTTTAAGCCTTCCCACACCCCCCTTTTCATGTAGGAGGAAGACTAGTACGGTTACAAAAGTGAGATGTGCTGCTTTTGTGGCTTTGGTTGTCCGTTTTGTGTTTTCTGCAGGTCTTGTCTGTTCTGCAGTCCCCTAGGCTAGTCAGAAACTTGTGGGAATGTGCTTGAGAAGGAGGTTTAACTTGCTCTGCAGAGACACTAATTTAAGTTGACTCTGTTTTCAAAACTCCGTGTATGGTTTTTATGTCAGTGCTGTCTCTAACCATTATCTACACCAGACTGCTCAAGCCAAACCTTGCTGGTGTCTATATGTAAAATAAATAAGCTAAAGCAAATAGGTTATTTTTTTTATTGGCAATTTTCTGAGTATGCTCTACTTCTTTTTTTCAGCATCTAAAATAGGTTTAATAGTCTCATTTTTGTCTATGAAAGGGGCCTTAAGAAAATTTTTAAAGAAAATTTATAAAGTTTATAAACTCTTTAAGATCTTCATTGTAACATTGCTGTAAAAATGCAGTGTATCATGACTGCATAGCTATGTTAAATTTTCCTCTGACTTTGTCCTATTTTCAGAACATGCTTGAAGAACTATTAATTCATAAGCCAGATGATCCCATTCAGTATATGATAAACCATTTAAAGCAAAACAGTGATGATGGTAAGTGAAAATTGAGACACCATAGTTCAATTCCTTATTTGTAAACAGCTGTTTGAAAGCCATGTTTCAGTTGGCAAATGATGGATAAAACTTTTCAGACTATGTCTTGAGGGGAAAAAAAAAAGGTGAGCCTTTTGAAATAGTTATAGGTAAGATGCTTTTAATTTCTTTTTTTAGTGGGTAATCTAATAAAAAATGCACTTTAACAGTTATAACAATGAAACCCTCTAAGGGAATAACAAAGAGTTCTGGCATATCAATTATTAATGCATTCTGTGCCCCATCTGATATTTCCTGTTGTCTTTAAGCTTGCTAATTACTCCTTTTGTCAGGTGTAAATTTGGTTTCCTATTCTACCTGGGCTGGCAGACTCTCTGTTTTTTGATTAGTTAGTTACTAGCTGCTTTTAATGAGTTCCACTGCTCAGTGGCATCTCAGATGAAGGAACAGTGAGCATGCCTACTTGTATGTATAACAAAACCTGGTAAATTGAATAGGAAGTCTGTATTCTGCACAATAAAAGCATGTACACTCAATCAAATTATTTGATTTACAAACTGTTCACCCTTAGGCAGATTATATTTGGATATGCACAACGGAACTATAATTTTTGTTCTGCATGAGCTGTCAGGGATAGCTGGTGTCATGTTGCTTTGATGTTTCTTTAAAACCATAGTAAACCATTACGAAAGTTCTGCTGCAGCATCAATGAAATCATTTTCACTAGAGGTGCTGTGAGCTCTTAGTGGTGGTGATCAGATGGATGTTGACTGAAATGTTACTAAATATTAAAAAAAAAAAAAAAATCAAATCCTGCAAATTGTGTCCAGCCTTTTCTAATGCGGGCAGCATGAGTAATCAATGTGTTTTATAGACCCATGGAAAACATGCAGAAGAATTTCATGTGGTTTGGTAGAATGCTGATAAAATTTCTTCACATTGAGCTAACATTTGTCCTTAAGCTCCACAGTATTATTTGAACAGAATTAGGCAGGTTTCCATTTCATGACTTCCGTACTTAGAGGCTAAAGATAGAACTACAGCAGTTGTTTGTCAAAGGAAAAATGCTGTCTGCTTTTGGTCTGGAAAAACCTGTTAGGAAAGAGAAGGAACTCCAATTAAAATTAAAGCCTAAATGTTGTTTTAAGAATAAATTATATGGAAAATAATGTAACAGAAATCTGTAGCAGAGTTGATTTTACTTTTTGATCATGGTAGAAGGTGCTGACTATTTAGAAGAAAAAAAAACCCTTATTAGAGCCATCAGTAAAGTGATGAATTTTCATGATCTTGCCTTGCTAGACAGTTTTAGCCCTAGAGAAAATTTCAAACAGAGATGTGTGGAAAAGAAGCACTGCATCTATCCCAGGTGTGAAATTAGAAAAGCTTTTTAATTAATAATAGGATCTAAAGTACTCTTAAAAATATAAACAAGTCTAATGATAATTACAGCTTACAGTCTTGAAAATCTTGTAGGTCAAATGTGTGGCTAAAGTGTTTGTGCTTAAGGCTCTGTACTATTGTTCTTTCATGTGCTCCTTCTAAAAAGACCTTAAAGAACCCTATGAAGACTGATAATTCTTTCATATACGGAGATGCTAGTTTTCTATATTGTATCTTGGTTGATGCTAATAAAAAAAGCTTTCAGGATTCAAGTGGCATTTCTGTGAGCTCTTTCTTTACAGTCAAACCTCTGAAGAAATGGAAAAAAGTTCTGCAAGAATGTTCATCATGTACTATGTGCTTTTCCTGTTTGACAAAGGATTGCTCTTTCAAGTTAAGCAAATTTTGTTGCATTAATGTTAGTCATAGAATCTTTTGGACTTAAATGGAACTCAGTGAGTCCAGCTGTTCTTTGTTTGTTATTCTGGGATTAATTTTGTTGTTATTAAAAATCATCGTTGAATGCTAAAACCTACTTTACTTGGAAGAGTAAATCCTGCAACCTCTCATCAAGGCTAAACATGGAATGAAATATGATTTGTCACTAAAGAAAAAGGCATTTGCTAGATTTTTCCTGACTTCGTTTAGCTGCTGGTTCAGACCTCCGGTATTAAATACTGACTATTTGCTGATTGGAGGGGGTTAAACATTACATACGGTGGTGTCCTGATTGTGCCCTTGTGTCATATGTTTAGGGAGAATGCTTTAGAGGAGTCTTACAAGTGTGCAAATGAGTAAATCAGTGAATTACACTGCCCCATCTGCTGCCAGCCACTAAGCAGAGAGAAAACCAGATTTAGTACAAAGTGAGCATTTACAGTAGCCCTGGGCAATATTAAAGCATGATATGGTGTATATAATGGTATGTTTCGGTTTTTATCAAACGTTTGTCCAAGAAAGCTGTGTATTAAAGCTTCAATACCTAAGGGTTTTCTTGTGAATTTTAAATCATGCTCCTAGTTAAACCTCAAAAGGATCTGTGGATGGAAAGGTTTTTTGATTTTCTTTGAAGTGGTTTGAAGAAGTTGATTAGTGTTGGCACCCGAGCACTCTTTTATGACGCTGTTTATAAATAATTCCTAAGTACCGGGCTGGAGTTTCAAGGTGTTAGATTAAAAAAAAACCCTAGGATTTAATCACATTACATTTGAAAGAAATTAGGTGATAAAAACAGCTGATGTATCCTTTTAAAGTATTTTTCTACATTGTGTACTAGTTCTGTTGCACTTGCAAGAACCAATAAGGGGGGAGTTTTTCTTAAACCTTCCAAGTCAGATAACTTTGTAAAGATGAATCTGTAATTTGGGTTTCATGTACGTTTAAAAACTGCACCTGCCCAATAACTGTTAAGTGCATAAAAGGCCTCATAAAAATACATTTCACATCCTTCCCTGTCTGCTGCCATCAGACACTGTATCTCCCTTGGTTATCGAGAGCTGAAGAGGTTTTTGGGTGACTAGATCCCGTCTCTGTTTTGACTTATGTTACTCCTAGTAAATACTCAACAGTCCCTTCTGTATATAGTCTGTTTTGCTTTGGTTTTTTTTCCCTGAGGTATAGTGGAAAAAACATCAAAGATGTTAATATAAAATGACAGCTCAAGGGATTGCAGCCCAAGGTGCGTTCATGGAAAAAGTCCCAAATACCTTCCTAAGAGTTATTCCATTTTCCCTTGTTTGTCTTGCCTCTAATTAATTCCCAATGAAGCTTACAACGGTAATGCCTATTGTGTTGTCTGTATGCATTAGATTAAGAATTCCTCAGAACCGGGATGCATTTTTCCCACCTTGCCCCCTGAGGGAAAGGAGAGGGACATGTGGTAGAGAAACACAAGATACAGAGATGAAGAAAATTACTTTTAATGATGACTAGAAAAATTGAAGGTAGCTGTCAAAAAGGGTAGAGAGAGAGTGCTTAATTTTGCAATATCTAAGTCTTTTCTGAACCCTGACACAACCTATTTAGATTAAGCTAAAATGTGAAAGCGCATTTTTTGTGATGAGAGCCAAAAGTTTTGCCAAAGTAAAAACTATTTTTACTACCATACTGTGTGAGAGAAATGAGAGGAGAGATGATCTCAAGAAGTCCTGTCCAATCTCAACCATTCTATGATTATGATGATAGTCACTTGTACATGCAGGACAAGAATAAAAGTTTAAATATTTTTTCATCACAAAATGTGTTAGTCTAAATCAATGTTTTGGGAATAAAAGCAAATTCAGATAAGGGAAGGTTCATATCTTATGCTCTGGTTCACCCACTAAACTATCCATGTGTTTAAATTTATGAAGAGATATATATATGCTTAAGTGGCATGTTTAGTCACAGTATTAATGCCATTGTCCATGGAGATTAAAGGAAGACCCAGCTGTCACTGATTTAGTGTTTCCCCTTTTTTTTCCCTGGTGGAGCCCAATCCTGAAGTTTCCATTCAGGCAGATTTCCAACTGAAATAATTGTTTCATTGTGAATATATTTCTATTATGCAATGCAATAGTGGGAAGGTGGTTGGGAATTTTGCTGTTCTGCATCTTGATGCTCATGTGTTCTTGTTTCATAGCTCCAAGAATTTGTGTACTTGGTCCACCTGCTTCTGGGAAAACTACAGTTGTAAGTAGGCTACCTGCAATCTTATAATAGTGTCCAGTTACCTTTTTACTTTCTACTGAGATCAGCACTTGTGAAAACTTAATTCTGAGAAAATAATTTTCAGAATTGTCAAAGTGATAGAAGAGCACAAGACAACTTGAAGGGTGGTGTTCCTAAGGGCTATGCCTGTATATTACTCTGCAGGTTAAATGGAAATGTTCAAGTGACCTCTGCAGGTAGTGGTAGTGATACTGCTGTAACACAAGATAATTCTGCCTGCCTTTTTTTTCCCCCACCTTTTTAACAGGACTAAATAATGTGGGAGGAGTACCCTAGTTACACGTTTGTGGTGTTCCCATATTGTGGATTGTTTCATTTGCATGGCTGGTTGTCTGTCATGTCCACTGGTACCGCTTAATTGAAAATGTTAAAGTTGTATTTGAACCACAGAGAAAGCTGATCACAGAAACTTTGCAGATGATGGTGGGGTGTGCATGCTAGGAAGAATGCTCTCTTCTTTAATATCCATGTTATAGTACAGTGCATGAGGAAGACCTTATTCAAAAGCTGTAGACTCTTGAACATCTTCATAAGAAACTGCTTAAAGTTACACATATTGCCTGTTTACTTAAATGGAAGGCTAGGAAAACACTCTCTGTCCTTCTGCAGCCTTCTGAAAAAATGCCTCATTTTCTTTCCAAGTATTTCAACATGTTTTTGTGGTTTTTTTTTCTTCTTCCCTCAGGCAATGTGGCTTTGTAAACATTTGGATACCATACGTATCTCTCAGGAGACTTTGTTATTCAAGGAAATATTAACACTGACAAAGGAAGCAAAGGCATATAAAGAAAGAAAACAGGTGTGTAAGAAGGTATAGTAATAGTAGTTCTCATGTCACAGGAGAGAAATTATATGGCATTCCCATGATTTCCACTGCTATGAATTTAGCAGATCAGAGTAAATAGTACTATATCTGTGGTGGTTTGTACATTGATTTGTGTTTATGTAGGTAGAGGGCCTTTCAGAGAAGAAGGGTAACCTCTGCTAGATAAGAAGATATGAACAAAGATAAAAATGTGTCAGGGCATAGAATAGGGGCAGGAGAGGAAGACAATGTAAAGTAATGGAGGTCTTGAAAACATTAACTTTAGACGAGAGCAACAAAATTGAGAGAAGTCCAGGTATGCACAATACAATTTAAAGAATTGTTCATTTTATCATTAAAGAAAGCATCTTCTATTTCAGCATGCTTTATAATCTCAATAAAATAAGCATTAATCTCTGAGGTCTTCTTCAGTACAAAATGCTCTGGAAAATACGTACACAAAGAACTTTTTTTGATCTGACAGAGCTACTTAGTTTTGCATACTTGATTTTTCTATAGCATGACACCATTACATGGTGCATTAACTCAAAAGCAGTATGACAATCCAGTCAGTTATTGAAAACCCTGGAAGCTCTCAAGCTGAGACAATAGCAGCCGACTTAGGAGATCATTCAGTTCCTGGGCTGATGTGCTCTACGCAACTCTGAGTACCTGGTTTGCTCCAGACAGGTTTTTAAATCCATTCATGCTTCACTGTGGGCCTCGTTCAAAGGAGTTGGTCTGAAGAACATTTTTTCCAGATGTCATGACTCTCAGGACCAGTTGATCAGCAATGTAATTGTTTTCTTATTAAGGGCTAGTGACGAGTAGGTTGGAAAAATATGTTGAAATAATATCCTGAATACACAGAAGCATCTCTGCTTCTGATTCCTGCCCTTTTAGCTGATTCCTTTCTCCAGACATCAAGGTGTTCCATGAGTAATAGAATGGAAGAAGTCTGGTTTTCTGTGACTCTCTAGCAAGTCCACCAGTTTGAGTTTCTCTTTTCTCCCTTGTCACGTATTTTCATAAAAATTGAAGCAATTTTATATCTGTGAGAAATCTACACTGCTACTGAATTTGAAATTGGCCAGCAGATTCATAATTTGCTGAGATGGTAGATGGTGTGATACATAGATTATTTTTTTTCCATAGAAAATTAGGCTGAAAATAGGGTAGTATTTATTACAGTGAGTTAGTGAATGACGTTTCGAGATGCCTCAAGTAATATACTTAAAGATCTGAGAGAAAAGAGTTCACTGAACTCGCTGAACTTACTGGCAAAAAGGTTTGCTTTTGGCTGGGGTGACATAAAATGATTCTTATCGAGAATATGTACTTTGAAATCTTTGTTCTAATTATTAAAGATTGTTTTGCTTGATTCATAAATTTCAACTTTGGGGGGAGGCATTTAAAACAAAAATTCCCTTTGGTTTAATTACTCTAATTATTAACATATTTCAGACTATACCGATGCACTTTCAAGGGTGTCCTTTTGGGCTTATTTGATTTAAAAAGATGGATGGTGTGGAAGATGAAAGTCAAAAATGTCAAGGCTAATCAGGTAGTAAGGAGCGCTCGAAGAGCAGAATCTGGTGGCAGTTTAATACTGTGCAGTTTGCCTTTGTTTTTGAGATGTTAGATCCTAGAAGAACGTTTTCACTAAATTATTTCTTTTGTTCTTTTATATGAGTTTGATTCTTCAAATGTAACTCCTAAAACTAGGAGGATCCTCCTTGCTTCCTCTGAATGAGTGCAAGCTTTGCAATGACTTAAAATGTAGCCAAATTGTCTTCTCAAGAGCTATATTTTCCCTTACTGATTCATGTCAGCTGGCTAAATCTACTTTTGCCGTAACTGACCCCTGGTTCTGCTGAAGCAAGTGGTAAACTTGACTCCTCTAGCATACATAACATCCATTAGCACTAATAGGGTTTGAATGTCTATTCAGGAACAGAACAATAGCGGTTTATACTGTCTTTGATACAATCAGGGCATTCAAAAGTTGTAGTCCTGGCCAAAGCAATTTAATAAATGGAAAGAGGAAAAGTAGGAACTAAGATTGTGTTTTTAAAAGTCTGGTGTGAAGATCATATAACGCAATTTAATGTTGTTAGAGGAACGTTTCATGTGTATAGGGTTACTGTGGCTAAATTAACCCCAGTGCCAAAGGTCGTTCCTTTTTAGGTCAGTAGGCCAATGTTACTAGATCCGGACAAATGCTGCAAAAAGGTCCACAAGTGTTTGTTCACATATTTTACTTATCTTTAGCCAAGCTTTCATCTCTTTTGTCTTCCCTTCCAGTGAACATTAGAGCATTTGAGTTCTCCGGGCACACAAATTCATGGAAGGAGCATTTAAAATATGTGATTATCCTGTGAAGCTATTTAAAATTGGACATGCAATCATTCACTGACACACACCTGGCCACTTACTAATGAGCACAGCTCAGGTAGTGGATTTTAAATATTGACTGTTCAAAGCAAAATGTGATCATTCTGCATTTAAAAATATTCCAAAAAGAAGTCAAATATTTTTGAATATTCAATAAATTTTAAGAACCATGATAAATATTCCATGAGCAGAAAAAGAGGCTACATTTTTGGATAAATCATTGCAAATTATTCCCTCATCTCTAGTTATTATAATGTTAATAGGAAGCACCTTCAGGTTTTTCCTATAGTGAAGTCTAACGATGAGCTATTGCATGTTTCACTTTTCCTGTTAACTGGATAAAATAAGGAGTTGAAACAACTGTGGTAATTGTGGGCTTATGGGATGGGTGTGTTCTTAGTGCTGTATCGCAGTTAAGGTGTTTGCATACTACGTAATGACTTTAAAGTACTCTACAGTTGCATGAAGAAATAGGAGAGGAAAACCAAAGGTGTCCTTATCCATGCATGTTCAGCATTCTAATCTATTTCAGGACAAGCCATTGCAAAGGAACAAATAGGAACTGTTCCAGTCTTGTGTATACATAAAATCCCCAGCCTTTCACGTGTATGTATCTGAACAAGCTAAATCTAAACATTTATGATTTTAAAAATATTAAACCCAATTTCTTCAAACTTGACTGCTTTTCTCTCTGAAGTGCAAACTATGAAGCAAACTAAGTCAGAAGTTTTTAGCTGTAGCTGTTTTCAGGACAAATATTTCCAAACCTTCCAATGGAAATGTCTGGGGAAAATGTTCCCCCTGCCCTGGCAACAAAAAGTGTAGCAGTGTTATGAAAAGATTGCAAAAACATAACTCTGAGTAGATCAGGCATGTGAGATGAAATATGATGTCCCTGAAATAACATGGAATGTTTAAAATTAATTAGGAATGAGTACAGTTTTTCAGCAGTATGGAAACGGTGATTAAACCAATGTGTATCAGTGGTCTGAATGTGAAATATCACAGCTTTTGGAAGGCTTAACAATTCAAGCAGCAGGTCTTTCCATTAACTAAACTGAATGTTGGGACAGGCTGAGTGCCTTAGATAAGATACAGTTCTGCAATTATCAAACGTATGTGTGTCACTGTCCATTATTGCAGATTTCTGGGAGGGGAAGTCCCATCTACCAGGCTCACAATATATTTATGTGAATGTTTATGAGAGAGAAATTATAAATGTGCTATCTGATATGTATCAAATGTAATGATTTCCAGTTGAATAATTAGGCATTCTACAAGCAACCTATTGAAAATGATTTTGTAGGCCACTGCTCAGTAGGAGGAAAACTGATCAGGAAATGAGACTGGAATTGAGCCACAGAGAGCAGAAGGAACTAAAACACTGAAATACCTGCTTGTGTGTCCTTGATTGTTGTTGTGCAATAAACCCTGCTCAAGAGAGAGGACTAAGAGTACCACTGCACTGAAAGAAGCTAGAATAATTTTGGTTTAAATTGGTTTGGCAAGGCTTGGCAGAGTGGACCCCCAGCAGCCGCTAGCCTGTCTTGACATGACACATCAAAGGAGTAAGCAAGACGCTAGCTGTTTCTGATAGCAGCATGATGCACCTTTGGAAGGTGACGGACTCAAAGCCACAGACCCAGGCTCCAGCAGTGAGAGCCTGCAGGAGGCTTTGACGCACCACCCTGTGGGACCTGCTGACTTTCAAGAAACACAGCAATTTCTTTCTCTTTTTCTCTTTTACCTGCTTGAATGTTGCCGTATGAATGGCTGATATTAGGAAAGGCACTGAGAACTAGGGATAGTAGAGATAAACAAAACAAGAAAACCCACTGCCTGACTGGGCCACCTAGTCTGTTCCACAGCCAGCTGAGGACTGGCCTCTTGTGTATTCTGAAGTCCTTGCTCCACTTTAAAGTGACTTGTGTGGTAGCGTTTCCACCACTCCTGGTGAAATTGTTCCATGATCTAATGAAGAAGATTGTTATAAAATCTTTCTGCATAGTTAGTCACATTTTCATTATATCCGTCTATGTTCTTTAATGTAACATAAGCCTGCAGAAATATTCCTTTTTTTAGGATTATGCCCTTCAGACTCTTCGGTAACAAAAAAGAGATGGGAACTCACAATGTATGGAACTGCGTGGAACAAAGAGTCAAATTCACATTGTTAAGTGAAAGATAATTTTTTGACTTGGGAAGTAGAGAATCTGACTGCAGAATTTGTTCTGAGTATTTGTTTTAGCAATAATGAGAAAATTAATGAGACTGAGACAAGGCATTTAGTCAAAAGATTAACAGCTGCTCTGACTGGCATGGCCAAAGGTTTAGACTTTATCAAGTTTAACTGCCTAACATAGAGTTTGTTCAACCAAGTTCATCACAGAATGAAGGCCTAAATTAACAAGATGGTGAATAAAATTCTCACAAGAAGGAAAGAAGGATATTGTTAATTTCTTGTCAGGAAATCTAGTATAATGAAGAAATATTGGGAGAGCTGCTAAATCTGTAGAGGAACTTTGTTCTTCTGTCAGTAAATACTGTCTTACAAAAACGTCTCTAGATACGAGCAAAGTAATAGTCACAGAAAGAAACATCACTTCTGAAAGTCTTGGCACATGCAGTTTCAGTGCCAACTCAGACCATTTCAGGGTCTTGAGTTTAAAAATAAACTGACTTAAATAAACTTTCTGGATGATGAGAGTTACTTGAAACTGTGAAACAAATCTCCTGAAAATCAGACTATGTTACTTGCTCTGTGTTTGAGATTCTGCTTGTCTCTCAGGATAGCTGTTAAGATCACTAATGCCAAGTCCACTGATGTATGAAGCAGCAGTGGGCATATACTTATGTTAAAAAGGACTACTTTTGGATGTGATGTTCTTATGGAAACCTTTGCAGCTTTGATGTCCGATGTGTGTTAGTGTGCAAAACCTGGCACCACTTCCATGTTAGTGTGCAAAAAGCGTGGACGTAGGCATTGTGTTCAGCTTACCTTTAACACTGATTTTTGTGCCTTTATTAACTCTCTGATATATTATGTTAATGACTTGGGACTTGCACAGATTTATTTATTTATTTTTAAGACGACATCTCAGTTCACCTTTAACCGGAATATGCCTGCATGGTAAAATTCCTTTTGAACTCAATTGTGAATATTCAGCCTTTTTTTGTTCTTTCTTTAGAAAATTCCCAATGCGCTTTGGGCCAATCTGATCCAGGAACGTCTGTCAAACGTGGACTGCATCAAACAAGTAAGAATTGCTCCTCAGAGGGCCGGTGGATAAGCACTTACACAACTCGTGCATAGTAGTTAGCATTCTGAGTCCTGAGCAGAGGAGGGAATGGGGGCAAATCATCGGGGGCTTTGGAGTGGATTGCTTTCTTGAACATCAGCAGAGGGAGTTTGGAGCTTTATTAACAGGATAAAGGCGAGGATGAGAGTATGCATATGCTAATCTTCTAGCACAGAGATGATCAAAGGCTGAACAAGCATAGCTTTGTTGATTGCCTGGGGCAACTGGCGGAGTTATAGTGGACAAAACAGATAAACAGAAAATATATGAAAATCAATATGTTGAGTTAAGATTTTAACTGTCATTGAAGAAATGGGGGAAAAGAGTCTAATATTCATACAAATTTTTCTTATTTCTCATTGTGTCTTTTTTCTTCCTGTGTTATGAAAAACTGCATTTGAATATATTTTCTTCTAGGTAATAATTAATATGTTCACTGTTAGTTTACACAAATAGGCAACTGAATAAGTTTAGCTGTATTCACAGGTGCGTGGCTTTTTTTTTTTTTTCCTCCCCTGTGTGCTTAGCCTTAATGTAAGTAGAGGCTTTTAACACAGAACCAAAAGAGAACTTAAGTAGATTAATATTGGTTGACATTAATGTTTGGACTCAAGGAAAGCAAAATCTCTCTTATGAGTTTCCTTTAAAATCTCGGATGTTGTTATGGTTTATTGAGTCCATAATCAGCCTGTTATAAGGATTATTTGTAAGAGACATACTAATCTAATGGAAAAAAACCCTGTTTCTAAACAGGGCCAAAATACAGGCTGCACGTTATTTGATGCACTTTTTGAGTGGAAAAAGTCCATTCCAAAGTAGGTGCTGTGTTCATGAAGGACTAAACAGCTTTTTTCAGATAAATAGTACATGTTTTCAGAACAGTCACTCTGTCACACCCACACCTTTGGGTCAGGGGATAACTAGTACTTCCTGACCTCATAGAGATATTGTAAGGTTCATAGTTTTATTAAAATCTGCTTCTCAACGTCATCATCATCTACCTTTTTAGTTGAATAAAGCAGGGCTGGTAATTAACATTTAATTGAAGTGTGATAATTGCTTCCTAAAGCTTCTTGGCATTAGTCACTGAGAGAAACTGGAAATGCTGAAAACCTTATGTCCTTTACTTCCTTCTCTGTCTCCGTGATTTTTGGTATAGTCTGCAATGATCTGCAAACTGGATCCTTCCATCCATGTAAAACTAAATCATCTTGTGGGCTGGGCCATTGCCTTTTAATTTTAAGATGGTAATTCTGTAGTGCAGAGTTGTCTACAGGTACAGAAAAATATTAACACATCTAGAAAGAAGAATTGAAAAAGATTTCTGCCCCTGATTGAAGGTTTTGACTTTTAGAACTCAGATAACGTGAATGATTGCCAAAGAAGTCATGTGCCTCAGCGTGAAGTCAACTATCTTAGCTTAAGCCACTGATAGAAGTGGCTTTCTATGGACCTGCCTTGTGTAAGCTAGATCAGATGGTCAGTTACAGTGTATGAACTGTGGAAGGGATAACCTGATCAGGATGGTAATGAATAGCTGGAGATGTAATATCTTAAGTTGTTCCTGCCGAGAGGTTTGCTAGAGGACATCTGTCTGTGTCATATTTCTGTTGTGAGCATATCGCTGTAGCAAAATAGGTAGTATGCTGGTCTCTTTAAGCAGTAGCTTCGAATTAGCAATAGCTAAACTTTGACCTATCCCATTATCTAATCCACTGGTTGCATGAGAATTTAATTTAGAATACTGCCTGCTGGTGTTTAATGTTACTGAGAAAAGTCATTAAGCTAAAACAAACCTTTCCTTGCCCAGCAAGTTTTGTCCTTTTGCCAGGGAATAGAAGAATGCATGACAGTGCCCTTATTTGCATTGGGAAGTACGTTGCTATAAAAGTCCTCCTTTCCATCAGTAGAGAAAGGTCTGAAGGAGTGAAAATAAGTTTTTGTGGGTGATTTTTGAACATTTTGTTGCGTTTTTAGCTAAATCCAAGTTTAACAAGAGATCTTCATGATCTGGGAGATTGAAACAATGATTTTTGGATCCTTAGAAAGAAAGGAGCAAAGAGATTGCCAGAAAACCTGAGGGTTATCAATTTTTCTCTACAAAGTATTGTGTACCTTGCACCATAATTGATCTATTAACTTTGATTTGCAAAGTAGGATTAAACTTCTGCGTTGCTAGTCATTGTGCTTGAATTATATGGGTCTGTCTGGTTTCTCTTGAAGGTCTTTTTAGCTGAGCTATTTTATTGTATTTTATTCCAGCTCATAATAGTTATTTGGCACTCCAGGTCAAATATCTGATAGTTTTTAATGTATTTGTTTATCTGTACTAAATTCACACAGGACTTAGGCCTTTAAATTGGCAGGAGAACCTGTTAAAAACACGCATGTGGTGTACAATCTTGTCCATTTTTGTGGCATTTTGGATTAAAGAGTGTAGCTGAGGAACACTTGAGAAACCAATATTGTCAGCTCTGGATATACTAGTAAATGAGCAACAAAAAAACCCATGAACATCAACATTTTTTATGTAAGCAGTGTAATGAGATATCATGGATATACAGCAAGTCAGCTGATTGTATGATTTACTACCTTGTCCTTGTGGCAAGGTGTGGAACATCTATCTGAAGTGAAACTTATCCTCAAGTGAGTATGTTTAAAATATCTTTAAACCTGTAGAAATGAAAGCAAGTTAGAAAGTTGATAAACCCAAGAGAGCAACTGCTCGTCTGACTGCTGACTGCTAGGTTTTGGGCTGGTTTCAGACCCCAAACACAGGCCCCCTCAGCTTAACACTGACAGCTTCTCTGGTTGTGCTACTGTAGTTAGCACAACTGTAGTTAGTAGTTAGCAGGTAGGATAGTGAAGATGCCAGGGTAGCCCTGGTATTTTCAATAGTTTTGGTTAAATATTTTCTCACATGACCTCTCAAAGGTAATAGTTGCAGGGGCGATCTGTCCTCTAATGCTCTCTCTCTGCCAGCTATGGGTGGCAGGAGTTGCTGTAAACTAGCAAGTAGGTGAATAACTCTTCCGTTTAGACCTTTTATAACAGAAGCTCTAAAACCTCTCCAACATGCTTATTATTTCAAGTAAGTCTCTTTGCCTGTTTAAAAGAAGGTATGTTTTCAACAGCTAATTTTTCCAGTGTTTGTTGTGATACTGTTAAAGTGAGTTTTACTAACCATGAGTGTATGAGCAAAATCCGTTGCTCTCCAAAGGCTGCATCCACCCTATGCTTTTTTGCCCCATGCTTTCTATAATTGTTAGCATGGTTCTAGTTCTCCTTTTAATAGCGAGGGAAGGATCTCTCAGTGACTGTTATTGAAGTATTAGGTCACATAAACCTGAGTAAGGTGATAAGATGGTTAAAATGCCAACTGCTGCATAGTGTCCTGCCTACATTTTATGTTTCTGTTATCACCAGCAACACTGAATCAGTGCTGGATATCTTACAGAACTAAGGGGGAAAAAGCCCTTTATAAAGCTTCCCTGACATTCAGCAAGAATGGAGTGGATGTTATTGGTCTAGTTAAGGTTTCCGCTATTTTTAGGAAAAACACATCACTGACTTTTCAAAGTTGTGGTGGGTATTTAAAAATCTTTTAATTAATAGATAGTTGTTTGTGATGACTAAAACTTCTTCACATTGTATATGTATTTTCCATTTGAAAGGGGATCTATGCCTTTTAATTGCAATATTTTCCTTGTGTGATTGGAAATAGAATTAATACTGTGAATTTTTTAGATCATTGAACAGATTTATGCCATTTCTTTCAAAACATGAGTTAGCATTTTTAAACTGAAAATGTTAATAGATTAGGAGCAGTATGTTGGACCATAGTACCACCAGCTGTTTATTTTATTTCTCCTTGTGGTGTCATTGGTTTGGCATTAATTGTACAGCTTTTATCCCACTGACAGTAGGAATACGTAACTTTTTGTGCCATTGTTTTGACACTCACAGGTTTATAGATGTCACGGGCATTCTCTAAGGAGAACATTTTTATTGATCAACAGCTCTGCTGAGACTCTGTTATGTGTTATGTGTTCTCCTAATACAAATGGAGCTAGGACTGTGAAGGATCAGACAAGTAGGTCTTCCAGCATATGCTGAAAACTTACTGCAAGCATTATGTTAGAACCTGGGACCTGTGAAGCTCATAGAAGACTTTTCATCTTACAGGGTTAATACATGTTGGCTATGGCACCTCTGACTGCTGGTGTTGTGGAGGGAATTTATAGAACTGGAGAAGGCTAGGGAAGAGACTGCTGCATGGTGAAACTCTGAGAGAGCAAGCTGAGCAGCCTTACTGATGGCTTAGGACCATTTAGAAACTAAGCTTAGGCCAGTGATTCACACAAGAAGTGGCAGAATTACTTGATTGGTATTAAAAGCACAGAAGGGTAGTGGTTGTCCTTGAAAGGGAAGGCAAAGTTGGTTCTTTTTGGTTTTACCTTGGCAGATAAAGGTCCTGTTGTCTCTCTGAATCTCCATGCAAGGCTGGTGATGTTATATAGATTTATCTACCTATTCACCACCTTTTTTCTTTTCCGAGAAGAATGTGTCGTCCTTTTTTTTTAAAAAGCAGCTTACTCAACCTACAAAAATAATATGGGGAATAAAAAGTTTCTTTCTAATGGGAAATTGGGTAAAGTTGGAGCTTCTTCCATCATCCATGCTGCTAATGTTGATGGACTGCAGGAGTTGGGTTGACAGTATTTCTATTGCACTCCTCACTCTGCTGCTTTCTGAAAGATCTCAGAAATTGTAGATCCATGCCTGTAAAGCTATTACTGAATTTTTTTTTGTATTGTCTGTCTCCTTTCTTCAGATGGGAATGAAAGGCATGTAATACGTTTTCAAAAATAATGAATCGTGATGTGGACAAACTCTTGTGATGACCTGTTTTCCTAAAGGCAGCACTATTCATCACCTTTGATCTTTATGCTCATGGCTGAGATTTCTTTCAAATGTGCCACATAATTCAGCTTTATTTCTTTGCACTATCCCTTTTCATTATTCTAAGGCTGTGTCAATTTTGGATTCTGGAATTAAAAAAAAAAAAATAAAAATTCGAGGCTGTGCAGGTCAAATAACAAGAGAGAACTGAACAACCAAGTCATCATTACTGGGGTGGAAAGTATGAAAGTATGTAGGCTGGTATTATAGGTGAGAGTAGTACCAGCAAAGGAATTATAATTTGGGAATTCATGTTATACATTTGGGAATGACCTTAAGCGTTTCCTTTTCTCCAGATTCCTTAAATCCAGAGAGGAAAGTGATGGCTTTGCAAGTGCTTCCGTGTTGCTGATTTTCAGCATGGCATGAGTCTCCAGGGAGCACTTCACCTGGCATTAAGGCAGCAGCAGAATGCTGTATTTACAGCAGTCTTCATGTTGGAAAGGATTGAGGTTTCCAGCTGAAAGAGAGGGAATGGTGACCACAGAGTAAAGGCACCGTGGAATTACTTTTAGCCTTTTTCCACCCTTAATGTGATAAGGTGCAGTCCGTGCACGAATGTAAGGTTACTGCTATCAAGAACAAAAAATAGATGGCTTCTTAAAGAAACAAATTTACCATGTGAAGTTACTAATTACACTTTAATGATAGTCAGAAGGGCAAAAAAGACCAGTGTTTGCATAAAGGATGATAGGCATATTTTAAGTCAGGTCTTGCTCTGCTGTGTCTCGCTTCCTCTTGCTTCGTTCCCAAGCCACACTCCCTTTTTACTCTTTTTTTTCCTCCTTTTTTTTTTTATCTGTGACATCTGCTTGGAGCTTGTCCCTCCTGTGATACCACACTACTTGCAGCTGTTCAGACCTCCAGCTCTGAGCTGTGCATGGGGTGCCCTGAGCATACGGCCTTTTTGATGTGTGATAAAACAGAACCAAACCACTGGGGGTATGGAGAGGGAATGCAGCAGAATATCAATAAACCTGTTCTGAACAAAGCTGCAGCTCTGTGGTGGAATAGACATTTCACTGAAGTGTCAAGTAGATGGATAATGTATTCTAATTAGGGACTGACTGATACCCTGGAACTCGGAGACCTTTAGAAATAAGATCCAAAATGCTAACTATTTTGGTAGCGTGTGTTTATTTTGCATTTGTTTAATGCCTTAAAACATATTTGTTGCAGGAAGCTATTTATTGAGCTACGTTTTCTTACATTGCAAAAACTTTTAGCTAGAAATTTGCTTATTGCCTAAGGACCTTTGAAATGTGTATATAAACCTCTTGAAGTTTGCTATACGTTGTTAAAATACAATATTGTGTTTACTCCCTGTTGCTCAGTATGTGATTTTGAGCACGAAGCTGTAGGGGCATTGGAAGCAACGGTTTCGTGGGGTGGGTTTTTTTCATTTGTTTTGTTTTAGTTTCCAAAAGTGTTGCTGTTGCTCTTGGAGTGGAGAAAATGAGCCAGATTTGTAGTCTCTGTAAATTGGCATAGATTATTGGCTTCAGACCTCTGATGTAATTTCTCCCTGGAAGAGGATCTGGGCCTATATACATGTTGTACAGGCACAATATATTCAGAACTGGTGCCGAAGTTCCTAGCATACTACTAAAAATATTGTGCAGCCTTGCCTCCTGCAAGTCCCAAGGGATAAATTGATTTCTCAGCACCCGTGTGACCTTAGACAGCGGTTCATTCTAATTTGATAGAGCAAACACTGGGAGTGGCAAAAATGGCTTGCGGTTACTTGAGTATTTTCTACAGATATCAGCAGGATGACATGTTCCTGAAACCAGGCTAATTAAAGAATATTAAATAATCTACTCTATTTTCTTGTGTAATTGGAATATCCCATTTTCCTCCTACAGAAGTCATGGAGATATGTTTCCCTGAAATACTTCTAAAACCTTTGGACCCCATACTGACAGAGCTGCAAATTTATGTGGGAGATGATAATGAATGCTAGCTACACAATATTAAAGTATCTTCTTTATTTCAGTACAAAGATGGTTTCCAGATTTGTTGTAGTATCACAAAGTTATTTTGAGGTATGGGGTATGGTGACCAAGGACATGTGTGGTTAAGCAACTAACAGGTAAATTAGAGAAAGTTCAGAAGATTCAGACTTGAGACTGGGAAGTGGATTAGATTTCAAATACTGCATCACACAGAAACTGAGTGAGGCTGCAGCTCTCCTACAGTATTTCACAGATCTGTAAATGTTTTTTTAAAGATGCTCAATCCAGCACTTAGCTGGCTATAACAAGGACTTAAGGGAGCAAAAGGCTCCTTTTTTCTTTTTTTCTTTCTTTTGCTCTGTTGCTTCATTAGCTTTGGGAACGCTGGTTCCATTACTGTTGAGTTTTCCTGTATAATTTAAGAAAATAATGAAAGCGTGCATATTTTTCTCAGTGTTCTTGGCATTAAATCTGTCTTTAGATTTGTTTAGCCTCTTTTTTTATACACAGTGTGGGCTGGTATTCTTTTGAATATTTCAAAACTGTAGAAATTGTTTTGCGTTGTTTTTATTCAAGATAGAAATTTCTTTTTTTTTAAGATTGAAACATGAAAAAAAAATTCGTTGCTACAATACATAAGTTCCCGTTGCTCGGTGGCATGGTGTCAGTGCATGCCATTTCACAAAAACAGCAGTGTTCCATGTTTGCTTTCTTCTCTCACAAGCATCCATAACAAATAAGTGGGCTGTTCTGGGATCAGAATGAGGTAATTTTTGTGCAAATAGCACTGATATTGAGTGCTAATTTTTTTTTTTTCCTCTTCCAACATCAATAACAGTTTCATATTTTTGTTCAATAGGGATGGATTTTGGAAGGTTTCCCTGAAAATCAGGAACAGGCATGGATGCTCCAATCATCTGGCATCATTCCTAGGCATGTTGGTAAGCAGTACAAGGTTTATGTGTGATTGCATCCAGTAGGAAAGACTAGAAGTGTTTCTCCCCAAAAAGACACCAGAGGCACTAGACAGCAGAATATTTCAGTATGGTTCTGATTCACTCAAAAATTTGAGGTAATCTGTGAGACTTTAAACCCTGCCTTTCACACATGAAACCTTTTCTACCACGTTAGAGTTCTGTAAACTCAAAACCACTCCAGCAAGGGTCTCTGAGCAGCTATATGTAGTTTTGCTTCTGTTCTAGGAGTGTGTCTGAGTTTTCTGTCTTCCATTTTTAGAAATCAGCCTTTATCCTCAGATCAAAACAATTCCTCATGTACTAAACACAAAATTCATCCTTTTGTTGAATTACAGAATGCAAACTTAGCAAACTTCACTCCACCAAGTGAAGTGGAAACATCATGATTTTAAGCTTGACCTTTCAGAGTATGGGTGGATTCTGACTTGATTTGAGAGGAACGTTTGTTTACTGGCAGAGTGCTGATAGACCATACCTTGACAGCTGCCCTTGCTATCTAGAAGCAGCCAGTTGTCTGAAATTAATATAGTTTGAGGACCTACTTAGAATGTAAGAAATTGTAACGATTGTGTGGAATATGGTGTAAAATGATAAATGTAGAGCTTGCCAGTGGATAGTGAACAGAATGTTAGCGAACTTGATGAATTGTCACTTTGGATTTGATATGGATGAGATTTGACTGTTAATGAAGAATTCCGAATCACTGCAATAGAGTTAGGCAAAAATGTTTAATGTCTAGTACTTGCATGTATTTTTAATATAGCTAATAACATCTGAAGTTGAGTTTTGCTCACAATTATATCTGTGCAACCAAGACCTGAATGAGAATCTTAAAGCTCAGTCTGGCTAGTTAATCAAAAAGAAGATTGAGAGGAGATGAGGTTTATGGTGTATGAGTACCTTAATAGGGAGAAAAGCGTTTGAAAGAGCTATTTGATAGAGAGAAGAAAGTCATAAGAAGTTTGAAACCATTGTAATCAAATGCACTGAGAATAGTAATTAAATTACAGTGTTGAACTGTGAGGATGATTAGTCAAAAGCAACGTAGGGAACTTTTGATGCTTTCTAATCAAGTTTGAACACTTTTCTATGACATTATCAAAAAATATGTTTTCACTGGTCTCACTACCAAAGTACTTGGGTGAAAAGCAATTGTTTTTGGTATAGAAGAGAATTAGTCTCGAGTGATCCGTGGCTACTTCTCTCCTAGACTCCAGATACAGTGTAGGTGAGGGAGAACTTTGTTAATTGGTATGGATGTCGGGGACAGCTAGTACTCATGGGTACTGGACTGGATTAATGTCTGTTTTATACCACTATACTGTTTAGGAGGTGGAGCAAAATTCTGGTTAAAAGGGAAGTAAAGTATTTGCAGGTAGAATACTGGGAAGAGAGAATGAGGCAAATGTGCTTGGAATACATTCATCCATCTTTTATACTAGGATACATCTAAACTGTTACAGGAAATCAAGTAACTAACAAGAGCTACACCTTTTTCTGTTTTCTTTTTTTTTTTTCTTTTGTGCCTAGTTGTGCTTTATGCCCCAGACATGGTGCTGATTGAGAGGAACAGTGGGAAAAGGCTTGATCCCTTCACAGAAGGTGCAGTATGTGTTTGTTCTTGATCTCCACTAGAAACTGGTTGCTTGGTCTCAGAAACATTGTAATACCAGTGGGATTGAAATTTAGATGGTACCCCTTTAAGAACTAGTAGGAATTTGTAATTATACATGTAAACTGTTTGGAAAAAGTATTTATTGACATTGCATTATTTTCTGTGCCAATAAAATATAGGAAAAAGTAAAGCTCAGTACTGAGCCTGCAAACAGTAGACTATGGAAGTACAGAATATTTGAAGGTTAGATCTGTCCATATGAGTTTACATTTTGCTATGCGTCTTTGCTAGATGCTGTTTTATTTCTGAGGTGCTGGTATGCTTTTGGGTATCTTCCATTAAATGGCTGTCAAATAGACTTAGCTCTGTATTGTCTGTTGAGTGTCATTATCGGTCATCCATCACGAAATAAAATCCTAATGCTCAATAAAAACATCACGTTGGATATTTTAGGAGTGGAATTAGGAGGTTTGTTCTTAACTAAAGAAATGGCTTTTTTTTGCTATAAAGGAGATTTGCTTATCAAAGGCCGTGTTTAAGCTTCAATCTAAGAGTTTGGAGAGCTATCCCCAGTTCCTGGTTCTTACTCATCATGCTGTCTTGGCTACATGGGTGGGCAATTATCTTGGCCACTTCCTATCAGTGCATCTGCAGAGTAATAGTCAGCTGTCAGTACCAGTAGTGAGGGAAATGCACAGGTTATTGCATGTGCCACAATATAAAGCTAAAATTAAGACCTTGATTTTGCTTAGGAGACCTTTTGGAGCTGAGCAAGAACTATTAAATCATCCTCTTAGTTCCTAATCAGTGTCTAACTTCTAGAGGTGTACCATACGACCTTTGACTGGCCAAGTGATCCGCGGATACAGCAACGTTTGGTGAAACCAGAAGAGCTATCTGAACAGGAGGTGTCAAAGAAACTGCTGGAATATCACAGAAACTTCCCTGAGGTTTTCCAAATCTACCAAAAAGTTTTGAAATCAGTTAATGCAGACCAGCCTTCCATCGATGTCCTCTCACAGGGTAAATATGTACCTTTATGGCAAATCTGATAGTTGATAAACTCTTATTTGAAAGGTAGCTCCTACCTGTTAGAAACAGTTTGTAGGATTAGGATTAGTCAACACAAGATGGCTCCCAGCTGAGTTGTGTTCTCTCTAGTGCAGCATTTGGACTGTTCCTGGTAATTATTTTACAGGACTAGAGTAAGTGCAGATAACTGGAAAGTCTTAGTTCCACAGCCCTGCCAAGGAACAGCTGACTCAGTAGAGCAAATGTCACGGTTATTTCTGCGAGAGTCTCTTCTAAAAGGCTGCATTGTGGCTCATTTGTTAATCTCCCTAAGGGCTAGGACCTTCCACAAGTATGATAACAAGAAGTAGGAGTAGTTCAAAGCTGGTAACATTTCATTATTTAAAAGCTGTTTGTGCTGGTAGCCTTTCTGTTCAACAATTCTTGTTTGCCTTTGACTGTAATGCAATCTGACTTTTAATGTTGATTCTTCAAGAGAATAAGGAAACTGCCAGAAAGACCAATTGATAATGTACTTGGTAGCTGTCAGTCTGTAGATGATCTATTATATCCCAGCAATTTTGCCTCTCAGAAAGGTCTTTTTTTAATAACAAGGGCTGCACTTTTAAGATAAACAAGTAGGAAGTTTATATTCTGAATTTACACATTAATTACCTCTAAATTACTTAATTAAATTTAAAAGTTCATATCATAATTCATAAAGAATTCATGCCTTGAATTGTAAATAAAAATGTGAGTGCCTGAATATTAATTATTATTAATTAATAATGTAGTGAGATAAATTGAAAACTGGAATGAAAAAATCCTCTCTAGATCTTTTTTCTGCAGTGCATCAAGCAGCCACATTTTTTTTTAAAGAATAATTAGATGTGGAGACTGTCTAGGGGATCATTACTCCTAATTAACTTGGTTATTTACTGCAAATTAAGCATCATTTGTAAGCAGGGTGCTTTGCCTGTAATGTTTGTGCTTTTCAATACACTGGGTTATGGAAAATATTCAGAATAACTAGAGCACTCCTTTGGTAGCTGATACTTGTTTTTTAGGGAGTTATGCAGCAAACACTATTTTCTGTTATGATTTTCTGGGTTTTTTGCTAAGTATTTTTATTGCTACAGATAGAGTTAAAAAAGAAAGAGGAGATCTCTCATCAATATTAGTAGTAATATGGATTGTTTCATACAATTATAAAATTTTGTAAACTCTCAAACTTTAACGCAATTAGTGCTAACAAATGCTAGGATCTGTGGGATCAAATTCAGTTGTACAGTGTAGTACCCCAGTACAGCTTGTGGACTGGAGAGAGAGATGGATACGACCCCATGTGGTTGCAGTTTGAGTTAGTTTCTCAAAACTTTAGGTCCACTATCTAGAAATAGAAGGGCTGGAGTTTGCTGGAGATGCTTCTTTATTACAAAAATTTTATAATGATACCAAAGCATTTAGCAGAGGGTACTTGGAAAAACTGTAAGTTACTATACAGTAATGTGTTAAAAATCATAGTTAAAATACTGATCCTTATGATGTTCTCCATCAACCCTTTTGTATGTGGGTTTTTTTTTTATACAGGCTTGTAGAATCATACGAACATTAATGTCTAAGACTGTCCTATTTGCTAGACTAAAATACCATTTTATTATAAGGACTCTTTAGTTTAGAGAGTCTTTTATTTGAACTGAAGATGGCTGGACTAACACTTAATTGTATGCATTGCAATTACAAAGGAAATCAAAGCCCATGTAGGTGTGCCCATGCTGCTTTAATCATGGGTAATCATGGCAGTCAGGATGAGGTGGCATGAACTTTAGCCTTGGCATGTGAATCTCTGATCCCTGGAAAGCTTGCATAGCTTGTGCTGAAGCTTGAGCTGCTCTCTTCACTAGTATTGTTAGCCATAAAAAGGGCATGGAGAGTAAGAGTGTTTGGCTATGTCCAAATATGATCCTAATTTGTCCTCACTGCCAAGCTGTGTCATCTTTTAGCTTCTTGGTGATCTATCAAGTTCTCTTTTGAGATTGTAACAAAGTTCAGATGTCTATAATACAGCAACGTTGATGATGCTTCACATGTCCTGTGGTCTTTCCCAAGCTCTTACAATCATAGAATCACAGCGTAGTTTGGGTTGGTAGCAACCTTTAAAGGTCACCTAGTCCAACCCCCCTGCAATGAGCACATTGACCTGAATGTAGTATTTCCTAAGTGATACAAAATGTAGAAGAATGGTGTCCAGCAAGCAGAGTGGAACTGGACAGAGAAGCTCAAATATCCTTTACATGTTACGCAGAAGTCATGGACAAAAGAATAAAATGATGCTCAGTTATGTGTTGTCAATGCGGTATTGTGTCGTGACATCCTGTGCTACAAGTCTTTAATATTGTAATTAGGCGTCTGTTAATCACACACACAGAGCTGGATAAATGTCATCTTAATTTAACATCCTGAGGTTTTACACTTAAATATTTGTTCAGAAACTGCAGAAAGTATTAAATGTAATTATATCCCTATATAATTTGCATGGTAAAATTGTACCTATCAAGCAAAAATTACTTCTGCTAAAAACAACATGGTAAAAGAGCAATTATTAATTGAATCTGCTCTTTAAAATGGTTTGACACCTACTGATGAAAGAAAGTATAGGAGTGTAATGATAGTAAGATTCCTGAAGTGCCTCTCAGTGTAAGTTGCTGACATGACAGTTTTATCAGAGTCCTGATTTTGGTTGGAATATCTAGATGTTCCAGTGATAAAATAAATTATGATCAACATGACAACCTTTTAAAAAAAAAAAGAAGTTAATGTTTATATATTTTTATTTTTTTTTTTTAAGAAATAGGCAATAAACTGTATTTCTTGCCTTTCTCTCATGTTCTAGTTCTTACCTATGTCCAAACACGACACCGATCTGCTGCCCCCTTTACACCACGGATTCTCTTTTGTGGACCCCCAGGCAGTGGGAAGAGCCTGCAGGCAGCACTAGTAGCTCAGAAATACAGTCTTGTCAACAGTAAGTTCTCAGTAAATATGCACTTTGCTCAATTCCCCTCTTTCTCTCTTTTCGATCATTTATCTATTGCTGTCTGCTTTACTTGCTCATAAAATTTCTCTGTTTGTCCATTGCTATGGATGTCAAATTTTTGAGGGAAGTGAAAAGTATTTCAATGAAGAAATATAAACCAATAGAGCATATAGTCTGTGACAAACCAGCTCTGACATTTTTTTAGTCATAATTTTTTATACCGTTTACATCAGTATTTTTCCATGTGTTAAATTCCTGTAGTGCTCTGAATTCTTCTGTAGATCAGTGGATCATGAGTAATGTCTTCGCAGTTTCAGCTGTCTGACCAAAACTGGGGCACTTTTAAAATAGAATTTACTCTGAACTTTAATGAAGACTCGGGTTCTGTGCATCTGAAGTGATGTATTAGAAAAGGAAGCAATTATTTAAAAGTGTGTTTTCTTTGTTTCATAAAGGAGGCCCAGAAAATGCTGTTTAAGTCTTGTTCATGGTTAGCATACTAATGTTAAAAAGTCCTACAGTATGAATGCACAGCTTGGTGATAGGATCAATGCAATATGTGTCCATATTCTATAATGTCTTCTAATAGTGGAGTAGCCATAAATTATTTTAAACAAATGCCTGCTATCTGTAAAATTCGCTGATTAGTCATATCTTCTTAAGTAAAATGTGAGTTTGTTTCATTAGTATTCTTTCAATGTATACCAAATGAAAAATAATCAGAGTTAAGTAGGTAGTGATTTTTTTATCTTCAGGAGATTCTTTAGTTAGTGCAACTCTGTTGTTCGTAGTGATTTGCCAGTTTGCTAGTGTCTTCCCTGAACTCCTGGTGAAGTCAAAAGATTTCGTTGAACCTGGATTTTGCGTTACATGTGAATAACTTCAAGATCTGAGCGGTATTGTTTTCAATTACAGGTTTAGTAGATCTGCTCAGAAAAGAAATAAATTTTTTCAAGGTCAAACTCGAACCTTAAGAAAAAGCCATATGCTTTCCATATAATTGTTCCAGCTAATGGCTGGGTCATAGGTTTGTGCAGTTCCATTAAAGGCACAGAAACAGCTATGAAACTCTCCGCTTATTAGTTTGGGGTTCTAGGTTTCATATTTTTGTATTTTAAATCTTTAATACTATTTTAGCGTCTAAAAAAATGCATGAATATGACTAAAATTATATCCAGTGAACTTGGCTAGATTACAATACCAATAACTACAAATAAAATTGATTAAATGTTTATGTGATCAGTTATTTTAATATTGCTGTTTTATAATTTCCTATTAAAAATAAATATTTGTAGATCTAGTCAAAGCTGTATTTTTAATGTGTAATTGGCTTAGTGAAAAATAAATACGCTTATGTTAAAGAAAAATTAACTTGTTCTTGTATTTCTGATTTTTTTAAACCTTTAAGCTAAAATTGCAAGTTTGATAGTGTTTTCATTAGGTCAAAATTTGCCTTTTTTTTTTAAGTAACTACTATATGAGAGAGTTGCAGATTTTTTTACTAAATACCCTTACCACTGCTTTATCCATATGTTGAATTTTAAGTATACTGTAAACCAAATATTAGAAGAATTCAGTGTTTAAAATAGAGCCGGAAGACCATCATTTTTCAGAACAGCATTTAGCATATACTTAATTTCCAGTTAGGCCATTGGGATTGAAGCACAGACTTAAAAATTTAATCCTATGTTTAAATAGTCTCATGAATTGGATTGAATTTAGATGTATACATATTAGTTGGGGTCTATGCACTGAGTTTCTGTTATGTTTTTACACCATTTATTGCAAATATGAATTTGCTTCTCCAGGACAGCTAGTAACTTAAAATTTGTGTTCATCCCTTGTCATTTAAACATTAAACTTCATCAACTTTGTCCAAGAAATATTCCTGTGGAGTATTCTTACTCTTGTTTGCCAAACAGTGTGATTAACAGCGAGAAAGCAGATGAAAGGGCTTGCTGCTTTTTCCATTAACGTCAGTGCCGCTGTAGATGTTGGTGCTATTGATTTCAGAAAAGGTGGAATCAACTTACGATTATTAATTGAAAGGTCATGCAATAATGTGCAGAGTGACTGTTATCTAATATTTACCAAAACTGGGTTGGGACTAGGACTTGTTGGGATGATGTGTAACCTCTCCATGCCTTAGTTCCCTCTCTGTAAAGTAAGGATCAGGACTCTTGTATCTAACTCATGTGGGGCAATAAGACTCAATAGCTTTAGTCGGAAAGTGCTGGCCGCGCCCAAAGTAGCAGTATTTCATGTACAACTGTCCTGAATAAAACTTTAAATCTGTATCTCCTGGTGTTCTGAGTGTTTGAAGTCAATGATAATATTGCATTAGCACAGTTTTTAAAATATAATTCTTACATGATCAGTAAATGATCCAGGGAGTCACTCCCTTGAACTGTGTATTATCTGGCAACTCCAACACTGCAGGTCAGATGCTGTGCAGCAGGTGTAACTTTATTCAGTAATTATAAGTTTATAAAAAGTGAAAACTGCTAGCAATCCCTTGAGTTATTATTTCAGAACCATATTTGATTAATATCTTTCTCTCTATCTCTGTTTTTAGCATGTTCTTTACCAAATGTATTCTTTTTTATTCAGTATTCTCCCCTGCTCAGTCTCCTTGCTTTTTGCTCTACTTGGCCAAAAAAAAAAAAAATCCTAACAACAAATCCAAAAAACCTACAACTTTTATTTTATTCAGTGACCTTATTCCAATATGCAGCTGCTGGTTTTTTTTTTTCTTTTCTTTGTTGCTTCCTTTTTAAAATTTAACCTTGTGTCTTTTTTGTTCTTCCTTCCTGTTAGTTTGCTGTGGGCAACTGCTAAAGGAAGCTGTTGCAGACAAGACAAAACTTGGAGAACTCGTTAAGCCTTATATTGACAATGGATACCCAGGTGGGGCATGTTGTTGTTTTGTTACACTGTAGTTACAAATTTGTGGCAAAAAATAAATGTGAGTGAATTTTTCTTGGTCAGATTCTAATCTGAGTTGCATCAGAGTAACCTGGAAGTTGATTAATTCCATTCACTATATGTGATTTGTAGCACTGTGTAACAGAAGTTAGATTTCTAAGGTCTTCGATATCTTCAAAGCAAATAGTTCATTGTTCCAGTGAAATTCAGATTTCTTGTACACATTCCAAAATCTGAATTCCATGTTTGTATCTCTAAATCAAAATCAGAATTCTGATACAGATGTATAATTTTAAAATGTTTAAACTGTTATTTAAAGCACAGTATTGTGATTAATTTTTATTTCAAGTGGGCTATAAAAATGACTCTGCTTTTACATTTGATTTTGACTTTTAGAATGCTCTAGGTTCCTCTACTTTCATGCAAATATTTTAAACTTTATTTTTAAGTTTCTTTGCACTTCATTTCTATCAGTATTTTTGGTTGTAGGAGGGGACTTCCACAAAGAATATCTAAGCATACTTTGCTTTTGGAAGGCCCTGCAGTGATTTCAGATAAATCATAAATACTGTAAGCCCCTTAGGGCAGCAGCTTAAACTTACATGTTTGTTATTTTTTTTGCACAAGGATAGCTCTCTGTATGTGGTGGGTATTAAAAATCAGAAAAGATGTGTGGTTCTAAAGGATAAGTTGTATTTCAATAGGGTGGAAGAATATTTATTTTGTCAAATTACAGTGGCCTGGAAGAGGAACTTTCAGTCCTGTTTCTGGAAACAGGCGAAATGGTTACCAACGACACAAATATAAGGAGACAATCTTGCTGAAGATTGAGAAATCTCAGTTAAGCTTCAGTATTAATGGAATTTCAAGCACACACACACACACACACACACACACCCCCCCGAGCAAAGAGAAATCTTCATTGTCTTTTATTTTTGGCAAGGAAAGTCATTTGGTGAGGTGGAAAGCTTGAAAGTCCCCTTTTCTTGCACAATAACTTAATTCTGAGGCTGAATTACACAGATCTGAAACATGAGCCTATAAAATTAACTGAGGTTCCCTTGATACCATACCAAGAGATTCAGTACTTTTCTAAGCATTTCAAAAAGACCTTTGGCAGCCCGCAGCTTTGGGTACTCTATCCTTCTGTCAGTCACTTTATCAAGCCACAAGGTAATACATTTTAACTCTAAACTTCATCTCTAGTGAATGGATTGCATTTATTCTTAATACAGTAACTCGGCTGGTTCAGTGCATTAATTTTCTGTGGCAGCCACCATATTGCTGGGACAGGGAGCTTATATGGGGACCACGGGAGTGGAAAGCATGAATCTTTACAGCCTGGAAGAGAGAAGCTGGGTCCTCTGCAACTTAAGCACAGAGATCTAAGAGAGGATTTTCTGATTTAGAGATACTGCTACTCAGAATAGCCTTTTAACTCAAAGGCAAGAGATCTGAGCGTATATTAATTGCAATGTATCCTAGATCTTCATGTATGGAAATAACTCTTCATGTGTATAGTCTTATTGACCTGAATGGGGCTACTTGTGTATGAAGTGTAACTCACACGTGGAGATCATTCTAAGCTCTGGGCCTGTGTCTTTTTCATAGTATCCATTAATTTCAGAATCTTATATGTGTACTGTAATTTCGCTTTCATCTCTGTGAAGCAGAGGACAGCCACTGTAAATACCTCGCGCTCTAAATTTCGGTTATGGCTGAGATGGTAGTTTGGATGATCTGTTTATTCAAAGATCGGTCCTCTAAGAGCTTTCTTTACTAAAATACGCTTTGTGTATTTTATAAACTTCATCTTAACCATTAAAGTTCCTTAAAGGAGATACCCAAAGCATTCCCAGTAGAGTAAAATAATTGCACAGATTGCAATTTTTAGTTAGTCCTAAAAATATGCACATCCTTAGTCAAAGGGATCTGTTTTCATTTCAGGAAAATTAAATTGAAGTTGTAATTCCTTTCTTCCTCCAAATTAGAAATTATTTCAGATTTAGATTATTTTTTTTAATATAGCATGCAAGGATAAAGATGTACAATGCTTCTGAATGTTAATGGGAATCATAACTATATTTCTGTGCTTTGTGCTAAAACATTCTCCCTTGCTTTTTGCTTGTATACACATATATTCTATTTGGGGGGACATACTACAAAATTAAGGGCTGAATAAAAGTAAATATTATATAGCAATACCAGAAATAATAAGTTCTGTCATTTTGCTAATCCTCCTCTCCCAGGGATAACAAAGAATGAATTTACATTAGTAAACACTAACAAGAATTCATTACTGCCCTCACAAGAGGCTTGGAGAAAATGAAAGAACATAGTGTACTGAAAAGGAAAGCTCCGCAAAGAATCCTTGCTGTCTTGCCAAAGGGTTACAACCAGATTAATACAAAGGAAAGATTCTCACCCTATTATTAACTACATTCAGTTTCAAGAAAACCAGGTTTGAATAGAGTTAGTTTAGTCAATAGCGGTTCAGTCAATAGTTTCCAATTGCTGGAAGAGCAATTAGGACTTCAAAATTTTCATTGCATTTCTAGTTACATACCAAGTATGCATAGTTGTTCCTTTGGGTGAGGAATCGTGCAAGTGATATTATCACAGAATACCCTGGAACCAAAGACAGACCGTGAGAAATGTTGCACTCAAATCATTACTAGACAAAATGAAACTAGTGCCATAAAATCTTGAGGGCATGCTTCATATTCTTAAAATGCTTGCCCTGGGGACTGATCTAAGTGTGGTTTCCCTTCTTGTGGATACAATTGATTGCATACAATTAGTCATTTAAGATATGCCAACAGGGTATATTGTACTGTCATAAAAAGGCTCAAAACCCAGCTTATTCAGAGCTTACTCATTATTGAGTTACTGAGGCAGTCCACTGTCTATTCTGTTTTGGTTCTGGTTGACTAACTCAGATCTCTTCTTGGTTTTTAGAGTCACATTCTTTGTATTGTTTTTTCCGGTACTGCTGCTTCATGTATACAACATGTATTTCAAGAACAGCCCAGACAGTTCTATTATTCACCCAGAAGGCAACTCAGTGCATTCCTCTTCTCTGTATTTTCTAGTGTGTGCTGTCTCATAAAGACCTTATCTCTTGCTTTAGCAAACTTCTCAATTTTGTATATGGTGCTTTATTTTGCTTAATGAAGGTAGCATAGATATTTTTGAGCCCGTTAATTTTTTAATTCCCAGGACATTCTAATCTACAGTTGATGCACGCTAGATATTGAAAAAAATGTGTTTCCAGTG